GTAAAGGATACATTTGTTCACGGATTGGCTGAGAGGCACTAACTCGCTGTAAAAAGCCAAAGCCAAATTGACAAGAGGCCCCTGTCACCACAACGTAAGCACAAGACACACCTACATCCTAGAGAGCCTGTCGGCACAAATATGATGATAGATTTAGATCTAGCTGCATGGTAAATCAAACTCAAGAGGTTGTATTTACCATAGAATACAAATATTCAGTAGGCAAGTATTTAATAAAGGTTGTGGTTTCTAGGATATTCTGAAGTAGTATGTAAGGATTCCAATAGCCAAATGAGCACTTGAGGAAAGTGCTGTGCTGGGAATTAATGAGTGTCTGCTTGGATGCTACTGAATGACTCACAGCACGGCAGATGATTCACCTCCTGAAAGCTGTGAGGACAATCTAACAGAGGTGCTTCAGGCCTTCGGGTCAAATGAATGCATAAGAGATTATGCTGTAAATTGTTTCAAAGAGCACAGGAAATTCATTAAAAACAAAGAAAAAAAGTGCAAAGTGGTGTTGTGAGGCTTTAGTGCGAATGAAGAGAGGGTTGGGGCTTTGTGTTTTCTTTTGTTACAGGATCGCTCAGCGCAGGGTTTCTCTCACATTTGAAATGTGGCTTTGCACTTTGTGTCATTTTTCATATTATTATTTTTTTTAGATTTCTGTATTTATTTTGAGTCACACACAAGAAAATCTCACCTTAATTTAATTTGACAGAAAGAATATATTCTGAGACAAAGAGCCTCATATAAAGTTTCCCATTTTTTAAATTTTCATCAAAACATGTCAGAATTAATTTGTTGTCTTGTGATGGATTTAAGGCATGTTTCGGAACGCAAGGACATTTTCAATATGTCTCGTTGAAAGTTATTTCTGTATGTGGTCAAATGAGGAATGAGACTGCTTTATGTATGTAGCACTACAACAAAGTTGGCTAGGATCAAGTCTGTTTGTGTTCCTGCTACTGCTTTCTTCAGAAATTTTATGAAGGCCTACCAAACATATGTGACCCTGGACCACAAAACCAGTCTTAAGTCGCTTGGGTATATTTTTAGCAATAGCCAAAAATACATTGTATGGGTCAAAATTATCGATTTTTCTTTTATGCCAAAAATCATTAGGATATTAAGTAAAGATCATGCTCCATGAAGATATTTTGTAAATTTCCTACCGTAAATATATAAAAACTTCATTTTTGATTAGTAATATGCATTGCTAAGAACTTAATTTGGACAACTTTAAAGGCGATTTTCTCAGTATTTTGATGTTTTTGCACCCTCAGATTCCAGATATTCAAATAGTTGTATCTCGGCCAAATATTGTCCTATCCTAACAAATCATACATCAATGGAAAGCTTTTTTATTCAGAAATTGACCCTTATGACTGGTTTTGTGGTCCAGGGTCACATATTTTAGCCTCTGAGCCAATCAACACATGAGGAACTATTTTATTGCTATTGCCTGATAATAATCAATATGCAATCATGATATCCATACAAAAATAACTGTAGTACAATTATTTTTAATATTCTACAATGCAACTACAAGATTTTTGTATTTTGATTACATAATCCAAATTACACACTGTAGACCATTACTACCCAACAATGCTTGTAGTATAGAGGTGATAGTCCAAAATAATAATAAACAAAAAACACTTTAGGTGCCTTTCAATGCTTTATGGAAAGTTGACTGGGTTATTTGAGGTGACTTTCCATGGCACTGCATCTATTCATATGGGCAAAGAGAGAAAGCTGAGTGCAATTGGCATTAAAAGCTTACACATTCTGCCATTTCCCCTCCTGCCCATTAACTTCCTGGGTAATCAAAGAATGACAGGAAATACTGAAGCAAGGGAGTCCAGGACTGAATCCAAAGCTAAGGCAAAGAGACCAAAAACACACGCTATACTAGCATAAAATAAGGTCAGAAACATTTAAAGAAAACGGGTTTATCCATTCAAGTGACCAACACATTAATTTATAAAATGACTAATATTCCCTAAAGACAACAATCTCTACAAAGTCTCCAATGTCACAGTTTCCAGTACTAATAAAAAGTCCAAATGAATCGTCAAGTAAAACTTTAAAGTCTTTTGTTTCAACAGAAGCAACATGTGGAATATTCCCTGTTGGCGTATATATCTAAGGGATCCTTTGATGATTCAGATGCTTTTCTGTGAAACCCCACCCTGAAGACGACCATCTGATCTGAAGTTTGATTTGACATTTACTCTCACAGGAAGAGTGCAGGGATAAAAACTAAAATCTGACATACCTATTAAAGCTTGCATTTTTCACCCAAAATTTCATCAAGTTTGTGTTAACGTATTGAAGTAGAAGTACAAAATGTTTTCATGCAAATAAAATACAAACACACAGGCTGCAGGAAAAAAAAAATATTTCTAATCAAGCCTGTATGTCTGCACTCTTGCTCAGGGAACACATAAATACAGGGTGACAAGCACCTGGCGCGAGAAAGACCATCCATTTAACGCATTAGTGGCGTGATCGATTCTTCACAGCTGCCTCACCTTTGTGCCTTCCGTCCCGCTTTCATTTACTTTAATCCAGTGCCCTTTAATCCAGGAACAAAACAGAAAGACAAAAAACAACATCTAAAATATAGAAGGGAAAAAAAAACGTGTATGACCATACAGTGAGGAATATCATTTAGTTTTTCAGAAGGCACTTCTACTCTATGTGTCACATAGCTGCGTGTGTAATGATCTGTTTATGTGGAATTTGAAATAAAATAAAAGGTGTGATGTTAAAGATTACAGAAATCAATGCGGAGTAGGTGGTTCTTTACTGTCTTAGAGGCAATAAGATTAGCATTTACACTACATATGTGATGTGGTCATATGCATTCCTGAATGTAGTTTGAATGAGATTCCGACTACAAAACATTTTGGACCCACTTGCAATCGGATCATCCTAGATCAATGTGGACACCAAATCACAACAGGAACAATGCCCATGGGGTAAAGTAAGGGCATAATGGTGGTAGCTCAATTCCATGCCTAGTGGGACTTGGACCTAACCTTATTGGTTACCATCCCAGACCTTTAACCTCTAGGTAACACCACCCACCTAGAATGAAACTAGAAGAATGCCATGTTTATGTGCATGCTGTGAGAACACTGCACAACTAAGAGCTCAGGAATGACATGATGAAAATCAACTAAATAATGAGTGCAGTCCAGATGGGTCAAATCAATGCATGGATATGGTCTGCTATTAGCGGTGACAGATCCGTTTATCACATTAGTGTCAGATCAGTTTGCTTGGATTCAACAGTGGTAGCAAAGGTAACGCATACTTTTAAATTAAGCAATGTTCTTCACGTCGAGTTAAATGATACGTTATAATGGTAATATGAGATTCTGCAATGCCAGATGACTACAGCCATAATTTCCCCATTTTCTCTTCTCATATTCCAGAGAAACTAACTGAATTTTTGTTTCTATGTTTCCTTAAATATGTCACCCTATCCCACATAAGAAGTTGAAGAGTAATCTTAAGAAATAAAATGTGATGTGTTCCTTTGAGCTGGAGCAAGCAGCAGCAGCACAGCACGCAGACGGCTGAGTTTCTCACGGCTGAGGCCTCTTTCAGTCTGAGGGGAAAGACTTTCCTCCACCCATACTTTGGGTCAACAGTTAAAAATAAGCCTCTAAGCATCTCTTTTCCACAAGCCAAACGCAATCCATTTCAAAACAAAAAAGGACCTCATTAAGAACTAAAAAAGTGAATATTTTTATATACCGGCTTCACCAAAAATAAAACTGTGCTAAAGGCTGCATTTAAAGAACAGGTCATACAGGGAAACTAGTTTGAAGAATTTGCATATAATTGCATCTAAAATTGGTCACAAGTTGTACATTTCAATTACCTTAGGCATAGAGAAAATCTTTTGCATGTTTGAGCTTAATAGTTTTCCTAAATATGTTTAAGAACATGACACTTTCACTAAACTTTAAGCTCATTACAGACAGTGTCACTTTGTATTATTTTGTATTATTATTTTTCTTCATTTTTTATTTTAGTAGTACAGTATACTATAACTATTTTGTCTATAATTTGTGAAGAAGCAATCAAGAATTTAATTGTAGTTGCATATAATGACAATTAAAAGTTGACGTCTTGAAATGCAAAAGCCATTGTTGACGTGTGACTGTGGGGAATTTATGTTACAGAGAGGTATCTGGTTCTCTGTAAAAGTTTCCCGAAGACTTAAATATTAAAATGCAGTTTATCAAAAGTTAAGCTCTCTTAAGGAAATAGTTGACCTCAAAAATAAATTTAAATTTACCCAACCTTATGTTGTTCCAAGATATTATGACTTACTTTCTTCTGTGAAACACAAAGATGATGTTTCATGTTTTAAGTCAGACCAGTTTTATAACCAGGATTAAATGATTCTTTAAAACATTCTTCAACTCTCTCTTTGGTGTTCTGGAGAAGAAAGTAACGCAGGTTTTGAAGAACGTGACGGTGAATAAATGTTGACAGAATTGAATACAGATTCAATACAAAAGAATTAGTAAAGGTCAAGTTGCATACACACATCTTTTTCTAAGTGTAACGTCCTTTATCCTCGATGGACAATTGTAGTGTGGTAAACAGTGTTGGGGAGTAACTAGTTACATGTAACAGAATTACGTAATTTAATTACAAAATAAAAAGGACTGAATACTCACCCGTGTGTCATACTCCAGGACGAAAGGAGGGATGTCGATCTGCTCAGGCAGGATGCAGGTGAAGAGCTGCTGGAGGTTCTCTATGTGATGGACTTTCTCTTTAAGGCCTGATACACTGAATGTTGTGAAGAACCATGTAGAGACCTTACAGGAATCGCAAATAAAAGCATTAGATTGACTGAGATGGCACTTTCCATGAAAAGGGTACAAAAATTGGTCTTGAAACAAAATTTATTTTGGTACAATATTATTATTTAGATTATTACATTTAAAAGTATTTGATGAACTTTGTATTCACTGATTCTTTGAAGAATAGAAAGTTTAGAAGAACAGCATTTGTTTGAAATAGAAAAGCATTTATGATATTATAAATATCACTTATAATTATTTGTTCACCTCACATTATACAGTGGGTATTAAAAGGAATCAACCCCCTTTAAAATAATCACATTTTGTTGCTTTGTAGCCTGAAATTAAGACTGATAATTTTTGTTTTATCCAGCTGTATTTACTCAGTGCAACTTATAACATCCAAGTGAAAGATATAACACCAACAAGTCAGGAAAAAAAACAATCACTGAGTTGGAAAAAGGATCACCCCCTTCTGTCAGTATTTTTGCTTTAATTACAGCCTTTAGTCTGTTGGGATGTCTCTGTCTCTACTAACTTTGCACATCTAGACTTTGCAATATTTGCCCACTCTTCTTTGTAGAACTGCTCAAGCTCAGTTAGATTTGATGGTGAGTGTCTGTGGACTGCAGTCTTCACGTCATTCCACAGATTTTCAACAGGGTTTAAGTCTGGGCTCTGACTAGGCCATGCAAGGACATTCACCTTTTTCTCCTTCAACCACTGTGTGCTCAGTTTCGCTGTGTGCTTTGGGTCATTGTCATGTTGGAAGGTAAACCTTCTTCCCATTGACAACTTTCTAGCAGAGGGCAGCAGATTTTCCTCAAGAATTTGACAGTATTTTGCACCATCCATTTTCCTTCTATCCTCACAAGTCCCTGCTGCAGAGAAACACCCCATAACAGGATATTACCACCTCCATGCTTTACTGTAGGAATGCTGTTATTTGGACGGTGAGCTGTATTGGATTTCCACATGACATATCGTTTGGTGTTGAAGCCAAATAATTCAATTTTAGTCTCATCTGCATTACATTTCCAAAGTAACCTTCCCAACACTGGTGGTAAAGGACTGAATACTCACCCGTGTGTCATACTCCAGGACGAAAGGAGGGATGTCGATCTGCTCAGGCAGGATGCAGGTGAAGAGCTGCTGGAGGTTCTCTATGTGATGGACTTTCTCTTTAAGGCCTGATACACTGAATGTTGTGAAGAACCATGTAGAGACCTTACAGGAATCGCAAATAAAAGCATTAGATTGACTGAGATGGCACTTTCCATGAAAAGGGTACAAAAATTGGTCTTGAAACAAAATTTATTTTGGTACAATATTATTATTTAGATTATTACATTTAAAAGTATTTGATGAACTTTGTATTCACTGATTCTTTGAAGAATAGAAAGTTTAGAAGAACAGCATTTGTTTGAAATAGAAAAGCATTTATGATATTATAAATATCACTTATAATTATTTGTTCACCTCACATTATACAGTGGGTATTAAAAGGAATCAACCCCCTTTAAAATAATCACATTTTGTTGCTTTGTAGCCTGAAATTAAGACTGATAATTTTTGTTTTATCCAGCTGTATTTACTCAGTGCAACTTATAACATCCAAGTGAAAGATATAACACCAACAAGTCAGGAAAAAAAACAATCACTGAGTTGGAAAAAGGATCACCCCCTTCTGTCAGTATTTTTGCTTTAATTACAGCCTTTAGTCTGTTGGGATGTCTCTGTCTCTACTAACTTTGCACATCTAGACTTTGCAATATTTGCCCACTCTTCTTTGTAGAACTGCTCAAGCTCAGTTAGATTTGATGGTGAGTGTCTGTGGACTGCAGTCTTCACGTCATTCCACAGATTTTCAACAGGGTTTAAGTCTGGGCTCTGACTAGGCCATGCAAGGACATTCACCTTTTTCTCCTTCAACCACTGTGTGCTCAGTTTCGCTGTGTGCTTTGGGTCATTGTCATGTTGGAAGGTAAACCTTCTTCCCATTGACAACTTTCTAGCAGAGGGCAGCAGATTTTCCTCAAGAATTTGACAGTATTTTGCACCATCCATTTTCCTTCTATCCTCACAAGTCCCTGCTGCAGAGAAACACCCCATAACAGGATATTACCACCTCCATGCTTTACTGTAGGAATGCTGTTATTTGAATGGTGAGCTGTATTGGATTTCCGCCAGACATATCGTTTGGTGTTGAGGCCAAATAATTCAATTTTAGTCTCATCTGCTTCAGAATTTTCAAGGTTTTGGCAAAGCTCAGTCGTGACTGAATGTGGCCATTCTTGAGGAATGGCTTTTTTCTTGCAACCCTCCCATACAAGCCACATTTGTGGAGAATTTGTGATATTGTTGTCACATGCACACAATTGTTTGTTTGGAGTGACGTCCTGATGCAGGGAGGGTCTGTGTTGTACCAAATACCTGCCACTTCTTAATAATAGACTTCACTGTGCTTCTAGGCATTTTTAACAGAGATCTTTTAACAGTGCTTTGCCAGCCATAGTTGATTATTCGCTTCAGTTGCACTACCAAGGACTGAAATACTCCAGTAAAGCTCTTTTCTAATCAAAATGACCACAGCTGATTACAGTTGAAAGTCAAAGGGGGAGGGGGATGATCCTTTTTCCAACTCAGTGATTCTGTTTTATTTTAATTTTTTTCAGACATGTTGGTGTTATACAGTATCTTTCACTTGGATGTTGTAAGTTGCACTGAGTAAATACAGCTGGATAAAATAAAACTGTGTCAGTCTTCATTGCAGACTGCAAAGCAATAAAATTTGATTATTTTAAAGGGGGGTGATTCTTTTCTATACCCATTGTAAATTAACTCAAATGTAACTCTACAAGAAAACAACGAACAATACTCCATTTTAAGGTAAATTTAAAATGGACAGCTACAAAATTGGTGAAGCTGCACTTGAATTAAGTGTTTTGTTGCTAAAGGCAAACTCTTAAGTTCCTAAAGCTGTTGTTTTTAGTCATTTTCAGCATTTACTCCAATGACTCAGCCCTGATGCTTGAACACATTTCACACCTGGGATTGTTACAATGCTCGAGCATTCTCTGACTGAAATGGACGCATTTTAAAATGAACAATTATCTGACACTTAATTGCCAGGGTTCCTCCACATTTGGAGTGCATAAAGCATAATTGTTGAATAATTTTGCAAATGAAAGCAAAGCCTGGCAGAGGCAACACGCTCTCACAAGTACTTCAATTACCTGAATAGGTTCTGTGAAACACTATGGAACACTTAGTGTGGAAACATCATGAATCTCAATGTGGTCTCAGACGCTTTTCAACATATTCTGTTACACAGACTCGCATACAGTCTTCTCTTAGTCAATGCGAAATGTGAAGCTGACCGCTGTGAATCAGACCATAGGTCCGTACAAACCGGAAAGAAAAGCTCAATATGAGATGAACATCTAGTGCTGCCTTTAATGGACTTACATCTGAGTTGATGAACTGATTACATTTACCTTGGTGCGGAACGTTGGATGAACGAAGTAGAAAGCCCTCAGGTTTTTCTTAAACCTGAAAACACAAAAGGAAAACATTGCGAGAAATGGTTTTTGAAACATTATCAACACATCCAAACAATTACTTATTACACAAATAGTGAATTCCTCTGGCGCACTTGGCTTAGAAAGGATCATTGCCTTAACACAAACAATAAACCCATTAGAAAGAGAGCTAAAGCGCATTTTTTAAGAACGAGCAAAAGTCAGTGAATCACATCCAGCAGGGCAGCCACGTCCAAGCCACAAACTGTTGTCCAAAACACACAGATGGATAGAGATCTGGACGGCTAGATGGTCAGAAGTTGAGGGGTGTTCGAAAAGCACAAGAGACGTGTCCGTCAACCTTTCCACTTTCACCCGATGGTCTCGGCCCGTCCTGTCCAAACCCATGAGCAGGGGTCATAGGGAGTGATAGCATCACTGGCTAACTCAGCTATAAACATGGCTGTGATTGCTAACAGAACCATTACAGAACCTCATCACTGTTGCTGAGGATTATGTCTGTAAAACATTTTCTTAAAGACAGATGCCTTTTGAGAATAAATAATAGTGATGATCTGCTGTGCTCTGCTGATACCTCATAACTTTGAGAGCCAGGCCAGTTTGACTCGTGTCATTTATTATGAGTCACGCTGATTTCCACGATGTACGGAAAGTGTGAGGGACTGGAGCTGGAGAGCATTTCTGCTTTTTATTTCAAGACTGAGGTTTCCTCTGCCTGCATGCTGAGAGTGTCCCCTGAATAAATGACGAATGCTTGACCTCACCATCACCTGCCACAGTTTTGACTTTTGACAAAGACTCAAACTCTTCCGCTAAGCCAGGAAAATAGCAATTATGAGGACTGTTCGATTAAAAGAACAATGTGTTTCTTAAAATACAATTACAATGTCATTCCATGGAGCTACATCTTACATACAGGTGTTTGTAGGCCACTGGTGGTGGTAGTTTGCTGTTTTTCTCAATTGGTTGGGTGAGAGGAGAACATCGAGACCTCAGATTCATCAGTGTTCTAACCTTGATAACCAGAAACCCCCTTCAAAATTTCCCAAAGTGCTCTGAAAAAAAAAGCAATACTACTTCACTGTCCTTAGAAGAATTACTCACCTCAGACACATTTGAGCACCAATTTAGAGCGATACTCTGGAGAAACAGCAGGTAAAACTGAGGAAACGTGACTTAGCAGTGTTTGAACAGTGCTTTCCGAGCTTGTCATAACCTACAAAATGGTCGAGCTTCTGTGTATAAATCTTCATGACATTCAAAGAACAGGAAGCCCAAGACATAGACATTCCCTTATGATAATCATGACATATGTGGTGTATTTGGGTTTGAGGAGACAGTACTGTTTGGCACAAGAAGCTCATAAAAATGAATAGTCACCAAGCCAGCATTTATACAAAACTGTGATTAGCTTTTCCATGTGAGTCTGGAGTTATGGTTTTAAAGAATACCTCAGCCAAGAACTGGGTCAAGTCATCTCAAAAACATTGTAAGGTCATAGAGAGCAGGGATTGTGGGTGGTTTGTAGTATCTCTGTAATGGAACAGAAATAAATCTTACTTGGCATCCACAATGTCAGAAAGCTTCTTGAGAAAGTCGGTGTCCAGGTGGTTGTGTTCACCGGTGAGTGTGTGGAAATACACCATCACATACTCCTTCACCGTGATATGGTCCATCACGTGGATGAAATACAGCAAAGCCTAACACACAAACACACACATTTACTTCGCTATCTAAAAAGGCACATTCCACAGACTTCTATTGTTTTTATATACAGCTAAAATGCCATGACCTAACATTAAAACCACATCCTACAACTAACCCTAACAGAAAACGTTCTGCATCTTTATAATTTTTACATTGTGGGGTTTTTTTAAACAAATGAGGACATGTTTAAGAGGACATTTTGTCATTTTTAACTCACTTCTCGGCACAAAGTTGTCCCCCAAATATGGTTAAGTAGGTACACACTATTACTACTAAGTAATAGTTCACTCAAAAAATGAAAATTCAGTCATCATTTACCATCTACATGACATTTCAAATTCTCTCTTGTGCTCCACAGAGGAAAGAAACCCACACAGGTATGATAAAAGTGTGAGTAAACAATGACAGGATTTTTAGTTTTGAGTGAACTAATCCATTAAATCAGTTTCTGATACAAATGCAAATCTCAAATAGAATTTTTAATATAAAAAATATTAATATAAAAGATTTACATCTAAATGGAAATCTTGAGCCAAACATTCTTTTAAAGAAAATTCTTCTTCATTTTTTTTTTTTATTTAGGTTAACCTTTCATTTCGTTAGGCAGCATTTAGTGCTAAATCTGACAAAATGTATGTAGCATTTGGTGCAACATAAGATATGCTCAATACAGGGCGATCAGTAAAATGGAGTTTATTGTCATACACAGAACATGATAAATGGAAGCATTTTCTCATTTACCTTCTCCATATCAATAATTGTAACTGGAATATTCCTGCCAACAACAACCATGACTGTCCTACCACACAAATCAACACCTGAAAATGAGAGAAAAAAATTGCATTGTGATAGAACTATATTATGGAAGGATGTTTTCTCACACCCACTGCAAAAGGTGCATAAGCCCCTAACCCCAATTCAGCCTCAAAGGTTGGGGAGATGGTTAGGAGGGAGACATTTCTCCAGTTTGCTTCCTCTGCTGGCAACATTCTCACATGCAGCAAATCTGGAGAAACACATTAGATATTTCAGCCTCATCCTGTTTAATGAACTCATCCTGCAGAACTGAGCTATGTGTGTGTGTGTATATATATATATATATGTTTTGCACTATGTTGTGAGAATCATCTGGATATGCATAGCCAGATGTTTTCATAGTCCATCCTCACGTGGCATAGCGAACATGCATGTTGAGGTTTACAGCTGGAGAAAGTCTACCCCCCTTTGGCCAAGTGAGTCAGTGTGACTCAGATATTCAGTTTTATGAAAAGTACTGCTCTGTGGCTTTCTGTAATATGATTAAAATTAGAAATTCAAGATTAAATTTAGCAGGACTAATAGCTTCTGGCAAACCTAATGTGTACAGTCTGTGGTAAAATGTCATGAGGTTTAGAACTCAGTAGGTCAGCTTGGACACTATCTGAGCTAAGAAACAAAAAAAGATGATGATTAATACTTAACAACCCCGAAACTGTTACTTTGGTGGTTATTTTTGTCCTGAAATTGTGAAACAAGAGAAATGGATTACAGAACCCCCTGATGTTGAGCTCAATGAGGCGGAATAAAGGTTTCCTGCCCAGAGTGCAAACACACAGATGGAGAGAACACAAAGTCCACATGTGCATAAAGATATACAGAGAAACAGCAATACAGAGAGAACGAGTGAACATGTACTGGAGAACATGTGTGAGATAAAACAGGCAAACATCAGACCATATCATACTACTAAAATAAAATCAACACACATGAACTAGGGCTGTAAAATTATTTAATATTTTAATCAAAGTAATTGATATACCAATTAATTAAATTATTCCTGAGTGTTTCATTTTGAGACTGTGTCAAAAGTAGTTTATTTTGATTAAATGAGTTAATTTATTAATGCTACGCAATTGATTGTTCTAAAGTATTATGTAAAATTGACAGCCTTACAATTAGAACATTTAAAATACAATTAATTGACATAAAACAATTAAAATACATAAACACTCAAAGAGACAAAGACTGACCGGTCTGATATAGTGCCTTTAACGCTGCTATGTCTGAAAGGTCCTCTGCTCGAGCTCTGCAAAGCCAGCGGTTATAGCTGTAAAGAAAGACACCAAATCTAAACGATTTGCACTGATGTAAAAACAATTTGGTATGAACCAGAATACTTAAAAAATATACGAACATATATACAAATAACATACACACAATCTCAGAGTACACAGTTCTATGGTATACTAAACAAATCTGTACTCAATAATAATGAATATGAATGAGATCATATATCTAAACATGGCTAAAAGCTGTTAGGATGCTATTGGTTACGCTACGTTTCCAGTGTCTCAAACATTTGCCATGATAACCAAGGTTTCACCACAGGTAGTACTGTAAAATTGTGGTGACTCATAAAAAATTAAAAAAATTAAAAAATTACACATAACAGGAAGGCCCTAAAGGCTTCTTACAAGGGGTGGGCAGCATAACCAATCTTATATTTGAGCAATTTTATGTCACAGCAACTTATGACAATACAAATGAAATGGTACCTCATATCTACACATACATACATATATATATATATATATATATAAATGACCAATGCAAAACAAAGGATACAAGTCTTCATAGCAAACAAATGATAAATCTGGTATGAGTACAAAAACAGTTGCTTCACATCAACATCACCCAATCCTATTTTGGCAGAAACTATCATGGTAAATTTTTGTAAGTGTCTTGGTTAAGAAACTTGGTAGTTGTAAAAGGTGAGAGTATAATAAGAAAACTAGACATCTTACTTCCTTTGGTGCTGTTTCTGCTGGGCTGCTTCAGACATTTGGCCCTGAAGGATGAGTTTACGCTGCTTATCCACATCCCCTTCCATACGAGCAAATGCATGACTTCCTACCAGCCCCAGGTCGGACTCTAGTGAGTCATCCGCAGAAAAATTTTATTAATATCACTATTATGTACTTAATAGGGTGTGTATTAGTGCACTATACAGAGATCTGGATATTACAAAAAAAGCAAAACCAATTGTGCTATAAAAGTTTGCTGAAGCACAAATGCTTTTGCTATGATAAACAGTAAAATATACTCTAGCACACTTGGAATGACTATTACCAGGTTCAATGAGCACTACAATGTGGTACATTCCACCAGGCCTGAACTCCCACCCTCAATCAGAGCTGGGAAAGCCAGTGGTGTGTGTGATGTACAGCCAGGCAAAGCGTAAAAATAATCCTTGTCTGTTATTCTTGTTTACATGTGTATGCCAAATCTCTATTACAGGCCAACCTTAGCCATATTTGAACAGACATGAAAAGAAAGTCCAGTCTGAACAACAAACAAAACTTTTCTGAGTTCCTCAGCTCAACCACATGGTACTGGTCATACTACAAAATTGTCAGCCAGAAATAAAAGAAACACCTTTGACAGAGAGGTAAAAACATTAACAGGTAAATAAGAGGATTACAGCCAAATACTCTGCTGCTAGCAAACCTAGGGTGAGACATCATCAGGACTCAATGAGACACAGATGTCTCCCGAAAGTTATCTTTGGTCAAAATCATTACAGCATGTTGAAGCAAAAATTGAGATTATGTTTTTGTAATGCAACATATGGTCCTTTTATGATCATCCTCACTGAACGGAGAGCACCAGTGCTTGCACTTTCTAGCAAGGCCTATGGCCTCAAACTAAAATTTATTTGGATTTCAGGAGCACTTCACCATAATGTGACATTAAACTTTGTGACAGACAAAGGTCTAATCAAAAAAGTAAATTGTAAACAATTAAATACAAATATATCTATAGCACAGCAAATGAAGGAAAGAAAATGTAAAGACGATAAATTAAATGGGCATTAAGGGAACTGGACAGAAAAAGAACAAATGGAGAAAGCAGATTAGGCAAGTGTGTGGTTTGAGGCATGCTTTGAGACCTCTACATGGCTTCATAGACTAATCCATAAGAGCCGGGCTGTATTAGTGAAGGCCTAGTCACCTGTTGTCTTTAATATTACTCTAAGAATGACAGGCAGACCTGCTTCACATGATGAAATGGCATTAATGAGGACAAGAGCTTGAAGAGATCAGCCAGATCAGTGACAGGGTGCAGCAGAGCCAGTTTACAAACATTAAAACATGTCCTCTAATGTCTTTCAGAAAGACTGCACAGGAACAAACACTTCTGATCCTCATAAAAAACCCTTAGTAGGGTTTTGGCTCAACCAATGATAGCAATAATAAGTAATAAAACATTTACACAATAAAACATAATAAAACAGATGTGACAAAGTTACATCATCTGCTTTAGCAAAGGCCCAACAACGAACCTTGTGGTATTCCATTACTAAGCATGTTAAGTAAAGGACTTAAGCATTGGGTCAGGGACCTGATCACACTGTTGGGTTTATTTTGCTATAATGACAAGGCTTACTGAACGTTACCCCCCCCTTTTATATGTATAATAAGGCTACTTAACTAAAAAAATTATGCATAAACGAAGAAAACGCAGAGTGATGAGAGAGACAGACACTAAACTAACATTGCTAAGTAGGTTGTCTGGGAAAACATTTAATAGTCATTTGTCTTTTTAACAGTCAATATACAAAAAAAAATGACTGCAGAAGATAAGTCAAGCACACGGATCAGGTTTTGTTAATCAAGTTTAAAACACTATAGACCAGTGTTTCTCAAACCTGGTCCTGGGCGCCCCCCAACACTGCACATTTTGTATGTCTCCCTTATCTGACACACCCATTTCAGGTCCTGGAGTTTTCTTTAATGAGCTAATGAGTTGAATCAGGTGTGTTTGATTAGGGAGACACACAAAATGTGCAGTACTGGGGGGCGCCCAGGACCAGGGTTAGAAAACACTGCTATAGACCTTTAAAAATATTTACTATGTTTGAAACCCAACCTGACCGAAACAGCAACATGGGCTCAACCAATGGTGTGGGTTTAGTGTTGAACAGAGGACCAATTTAAAGGGGTCATATGATGCGATTTCAATTTTTCCTTTCTCTTTGGAGTGTTACAAGCTGTTCGTGAATAGATAAGATCCCTAAAGTTGCAAAGACTAAAGTCTCAAACCCAAAGAGATATTCTTTATAAAAGTTAAGACTCGTCCACGCCTACTAAAACGCCTCGTTTAAACATGCCCCCACATACCTACGTCACGATGTGGGAAGGTTTGCATAACACCACCCAAATGTTCACGCAAAGAAAGAAGGTGTAACTTTGATTCTCGCTGTAGTATTGTTGTTGCCGCCGCCATGTCGTGAAGGCGCTGTGTGTTTCGTTGTGAAAGCGAAACTACTTTGTTTGGCCTTCCAAAAGAGGACTAGTGATTTCAGCAATGAATGAATGGCCGATGGCCCGGCGCACTGTTTTGTTTACTACACGCATACTAAAGCGCGGATGAGGTGTTTTCAGCTTCTGCCGTCTCACTATATGATGATATGAACACGAATGTCATCTCCAGCTTCTCTGAGAGTCACTTCATTAGCATTTACCGTTTCATTTGAGAAATCTACCGTCATATCTCCAGCTGCTCTGAGAGTCACTTCATTAGCATTTTACCATTTCATTACAAAAGATGTTAAATAAACATGTTAAGTAAACCTACTGTATCTGAAAAATTAGTTTAATTTGTTAATTAATTCTCTTTTGTATTTGTCTTGTCTTATTTTGATTTTTCAAAAATTATAAATTATATATATTATATATGAACAACTATCATGGTTATAAGTTGCTCCCTTTTCACTACTGTTAAAGGGATAGTTCACCCAAAAATGAAAATTGTCATTTATTCAAGTTTTTCCAAATTCAATCCTTGATTCAAATTTCTCATAAGCTTAATTGATTTGTTCTAAAGAGAGAAGAATTAATGACTATTTTTGTTTGGAGACTACATATAAAATAGCTACCAAAATAAATGTTGGTAACTGCAGTTTGATTAAAAGTAATGACTAAAAGTTGACAAAAATGCAATGACTTTTCGTCGACTAAAACTATGAAAGACTCAAATGACTAAAATGTGACTAAGACTATTAAGCATTTTCGTCTCAAGATGAAGACTAAATCAAAAATGCCTGTCAAAATTAACACTGCGTCGAGCCTGGCGTAGCATTGCGCCGGGTGTATGATAGGGCCCTTAATGTCTGGCTGACCAATGGCAGTTTGAATTTAATTTTTCATTAATTCCTTTTGATGACACTAGTGGCACAAAAAGTACACTTAACCGTTAACTTCATATTAACAAGGAAGTTTGGAAACTGTTGTGCCACTTTAGTATACTGTACACCAAAGTACATTTGGTTAAGTGATCATGTTTGCTCAGATTAGAGCTTGTTGTCATTCTCAATGGCTCAAGCAAACAACCAGAAGTGAGACTGATAAAGCAGATTATTGAATGACCTAACATGGAAAGAGTTTATTTATTAGTTCAGTTGGTAACAGACCTTGGGCTGCCATTCCATGTCCTGGATTAAAGCATTCAAAGACAGACAGGAAAGTTGACAAACAGGACCTGGCTTATGTGGTGTGTTTGAGTTGGATCAACAGCTCTAGTGAGACTTGATCACCTTAACACAGCTGGCTCACAGTCCACAGGATCTGGGTTTGAAATAATGGCAGCCAACAAATATACAAATTCAATCTCCCACTAACAAATAAATATACACATGTTCTCCGAGTGCTATGCCAAGCAAACTAGCCAAACATACACTCATTCTCATATAGGCATTCTCATTTTGACACTGGTGCCTACACACACACACACACACACTTGATTGTAGCTGTGTGGGTCTGTCTGAATGCAGAAGATTCTGCTGTAGTCAAAGCACTTGTTGTGGGACAAAGAGGTAGTGTCAGCTAATCTGAACTCATGAAACACCCACAACAGATCAAGATGAAAGGCCAGGGAGGAAGAGATGACTCTCGATCAGCTGCATGCTGCTCAATCATTATTCTATCACATTTCTGGAAGGCAATTATGTTTTTCATTCTGTAAATCAAATACATTACTAAAAATGCTTCTGTAAAAAAAAAAATCTCTTTTACATTACACAGTGTAAATACACGTCCTCCAGATGAATGTTCTCCAAACGTTTTGGCAAACAATTACTCCTACTGCTTGTTTGGTAGACTTAAGACATCTACACTACCATTCAAAAGTTTGAGGTCAGTAAGATTTGTTGTTGTTTTTGTTTTTTTTAATTGAAACAGATTAATACTTTTTTGAGCAAGGATGCATATAATTGATCAAAAGTGACAGTAAAGACTTTATTTATAATGTTACAAAAGATTTCTATTTAAAATAAATGCTGTTCTTTTGAACTTTTCATTCAAAGAATCCTGAAAAAAGGATCACAGCTTCCACAAAAATATTAAATGTTAATGTTAATATTAATGTTTTCAACATAAATATAAAATATAAATATAAAAAGGAATGGTTCTTAAAGTGCCCCTATTATGCCATTTCCAATATTGCCTTTCATGCAGTGTGTAATGTAG